TTGTCTGAAAGGAAAAGGGGATTTGTTTTCATTAATCCGTTTTTTTTTTTTTTTTTCTTAAATCTCTCTTCCTTTGTTTTCGTGTAAAACAATTTAAAATAACCAGTGTAAACATTGTGTATTACAATGATCTCGCCTTGCCTAAAGCGGTCTGGAAAAGGTTAGCAAAGAGACTGAAAAAGCTCTCTACGATAAGAGGAGCTGGGTAATTTGGTGAATTTTTCAATAGGAATTATGGGAAATAATTACCTCTCCATCAGTTTCTGTTACACTTTCTCCTTTATCTCTCTTCAAGATCTCATTTATGCTGACATTATTTTGTTCATCTTTAGTAATTTCTTCAGCTGTTGAACTCTCAGTGGCCTCTTTCACCTGGTCTCTCCATCGCTCTTCCTTCCTCAGCTCACACAGTATTTTTTTTTACTTCTCATCCCCTTCATTTTTTGACAGGAAAACTACAGTACAAATGTCTCCACTTTTAAATTTCCTTTTAATCAGCATCAAGATTTGGAAAAATTGGCTCTTTTATTATCATAATAAGTCTATCCCAATAGGACACCAGTAATGATTTATCCTATAAAAAAAAGTCACACAAGCACTTATATTTAGACATGTTGTTGTCATGTTGTCAAAAAATTAATCAGATTAATCATAATCAATCATAATTAATCTGATTGTTGAAATTATCATCAACTAATTTAGTAATTGATTAATCCTTAACTGGAGTATAGAGACTCTAAAAGATGCCTTTAGGTGACAGAGTGAACCACTTAGAACAGATATTACATCAAAATTGTAAAAAATATATAAATGTTTTGCATCTAAGTAAAAAAAACAAACTTTGTTACCTGTCAATATGCTCTATCCAGAATACCTCAAGTGGAAAAGCTTTAGTTTCACCTGGTTTAAGTTTGAAAAGGTCTTTAAGGAACCTTTGGCTACCCGATTATTGATCGATTAATGGAAAAAACGATCGACAGAGTAATCGATTTGCAAAGTAATCGTTAGTTGCAGCTCTAGTATATATTATATATATTTTTTTTAGTAAATTCATGTGTAAATTTGAGGCTGGTGACCTTTGTCATTTACATTTTATTTAAATGCACAATAAGTTAACTTTCCAAAAACAAATGTTTTTAACATTAATCGACAAATCCAAAATATTTATCAACAGATTGATGAATTACCAAAGCAACTGATCACTGCAGCCATGGTTTAACTTCTTAATGTGTTATAAGGTAATTTTGCTCCTATTGTCTTATGCATCCAATGTAAAAAAAATAAGAGCTTGCTTTTTCATTACATTTTAAGAGATATATGCAAAACAACAACCATTAGAAATAAATAGTAGCATGGTGTTCAGTCATCCATGTAACACAGGGATATTTCTGAAAAGGAAAAACAGGAGCGTATAGAGGAGTAAACAACAAAACATGTCTCACTGGCTGATAACAATCCTTCCTGGCTCTATGTTTTAGAATTATTAAAGGGCATAGGAGAAGAAAAAGACAGGTGAGATATCCTGGCAGATTCTGAAATGATAAGACCCAAACGAGAGGGATCAGAGATGATGAAAGTAGGGGATCCACATGGAAGGAAATTTATCTCTCTGACGGTGTGAGGATTGATCCTCTGCAGGACATTATCGATTGTGGTTTTTTGGAAGGAACTGAGGTTTTAATCATTTCAGGCAAACAATAAAACCACCTGCCTGATCTGCCTTAAATGCATCACTCCAGAGTGTCTGCTTAGATTTCTCCCCTTCTGCACCATCTGAGTTAATATGATTTATGCTCTGCAAAACACGATGACAATAGGAACAAATACGTCTGTAAATGTTGAGAATAAGAATCGCTTTTCAGGGGGGATGCTTCCTATAGAGCACTATAGGATGATGACTTAAAATAGCACGCTGCAGCCCTCGCCAACGGCTGGATCAGGAAGTTGGATCCTCTGATCAGAAGGTTATCAAATATGCAGAAAACTCCATAATATAAAGAAATTGGGTGGGGCGCTGAATGTAAAATGATCATTTAAAAAATGAAAAAAAAAAAAAACAACATCATAAATCTCTTATCAGATTTCTTCTGTCCAAAGACAAACTGATCAAAAACACCAGACGAATTCTTGAAGAAACTTCTTTTTCAGGTGCTCTTAAACTAAGAGATACGCAACATTCAAAGCTTCACCAACTAAAGCTTCAGCTGACCACCGAGTCATAAGAGCAAACCTGCGGATGGCGCGTTGGAATCCATCATGAAAAATTCATTCTTAGATGTGACTTCCTGGACAGAAACCAACTGGATAATATGAGGAGCATTTTTGAAGCTACAACAAAGACACTAACTTTTAAGCCTTTAACACCAAGAAAGAATTAGAACCACAAACTCTGATGATTTATTAGGATATTACTATAGATCAGGATAGTAGAGCTCATGCTTATAAAGTGACAGGAAACTGATACATGCAGTGCATTTTTTGTTAGCCTACCTAATCTGTGAAAGACAATACTTTCATCACATGAGACCAAAACTTTACTTTTAGCCCATAATCCAGTGGTGTAAAAATAGTTTTTATATAGGGCGACCTTCTATCATTAAATCTTTTATATGACCCGGTGCAGCTTTTGATTTCATCATCTAATTTACAAATACCACAATGCTCTAGTTTATAGCATTACTCCAATTTACTTTGTATTTTTAACCACTTTGTATACTCTAAACCAACTGAGCTCCTGAGGGCCCGATAAACTGCCATGACGGGCTGCATTCGGCCCACGTTCCTCGAGTTTGACATGTGTAATAATGCAACCCACTACCTTAGGCGGAAAACTTTAACCCTCATCATGCTGCCATTCCCATATCATTTTCCAAATAACACATGGTGGTGGCAGTATCATGCTATGGGGATGGTTACTGAAGCTTTTTAGAGTCGCTGTGAATCTGGACACATGGTGCCAGTCAAAGATAACCTGTTAGAGGTTCCACAGAACCTAAAACTAAGACAGAGGCTTACCTTATGACAGCAAACATATCACTACAAGGATGTGCAAAGTGAGACATACGTTAAAATAACCACAGCAGTAATTGCAACAACAGCTGGTTACACTAAAAATTGACATGGGGGATAGAATACAAACCTGCTCAACTCCTGTTTCTGTTTACACAATGGGAAAAAATTCTTGGGTAATTGACAGTTTTGCAAGACGGTGCGCATATTTTATCTAAATGTCAGCGTAGTTGAGTGAGCTTCCATTTAATTTCTTCTAAAACAAAGAACAAACGTAGGGTTATTCTATAAAACTGAAACATGCTGTCTGTCAGTTAATGTTTGTCCTAAAAGCTTACAGTTAAAAACCATCTAAAGCTGGTCTGCTTAGTTTTTTTTAAGGAATAGAAATGTTCAGGATTAATATATATATATATATATATATACACAAGAAAGCGGAAAAATATGAAGCCAGTAAGGGCAAATTAAAAAGGTCCAAAAAATAAAGACTTGACTAGTTTTCGCCCTCCATATACTGAGCTGACTGGATTTCCCCTCCTTCATGTTGCTCCCAATTACTGCTAATAATGCCAAAAAGAAGCATCTGCAGAGTCTAACAAAAAGGAGCTTAGCAGGGCAGGAATTCAACCCATTACCTGAATATGCATGCAAACAGAAAAGACTGCCTCTGGAAGACAAAGATAAGAGACTCAGCTTCACCATGATGGGGGTGTCAAAACAGAGTAATAGGGATGGTCTGAACAAAAATGTTCTGCAATCTTAAATTAAACTAAATAGAGGGGGAAATGGGGGGAAAAGGTTTGTGGTAAATGTACCATTTGGAAAACATTTCTGCAAACACAACATAAGCTAAAAAAGTTGTTGACAGTTATTTTATTGCATACAAATATTGAGTAAATGCAAACACTGAAAACCGTAATGGAGTTTAGAAGTATCTATTCATGCTTCAGTAATGATAGTATTATTTAGTCATTACATTCTGATATTATAAAGTAAGAATAAAGCAATAAAGAGAAGATGTTGAACATTTTATTCTCATTGGTCTGCATTGTTTAGTGAATTGGAAATTATTCCACATGTGGTTTTGCAAAGTATAACACAGTTGTTAAAGTGTTTCTAGTTTGTAAACTAATTTTCATCCCTGTTCTCCATCCTTTAAAACGCCTATGATCAGTTCATTCACACTACGTGTTTCATTTAATTTTCTTAGCTCCTTGATAAAAATACTATGGAAGAGGGTTAGGGCTACTGAAAAAGTTAGAAAAGTCAACTGATTTTTAAATTTTATTTCAGTATAATATTAAAAAAAAAGTCTGACTTTAATCTCGGAATTCTGACTTTTTTTTCTAAGAATTCACATTTTAATCTCAGAATTCTGACTTGTCTCTTATAATGCCAGTGTGTCACTGGCCCTCTCAAACAACTCACATCTTTTTAGTGAAGCTGAGTGCTCCCTCATCTCTTCCTTCATGGTGCCCATCTACATTAAGATCGAAATTAAAGTCAGAATTCTGGGAAAAAGTCAAAATTCGGAGATTAAATTCAGAATTCTGAGAACAAGTCAGAATTCTGAGAAAAAAGTGAAAAAATCTGAGATTAAAGTCAGAATTCTGAGAAAACAGTCAGAATTGTGAGATTAGTCAGAATTCTGAGAAAAAAGTAAAAATCTGAGATTAAAGTCAGAATTCTGAGAAAAAAGTAAAAATCTTAGATTAAAGTCAGAATTCTGAGAAAAAGGTCAGAATTCTGACTTTTTTCTCATATTAAACTGAAATAATATTTAAAACTCAGTTCACTTTATTTTTTTCAGTATCCCTAATCCTCTTCCGTAAAATACCCCTTTTAGGATTTATTTACAAGCAAATTATAATGATTTCTAATTAAATATGATAAAAAATGGGGTATGCTGCATATTCAATATAAAAAATATTATTTTATATCGAATAAACAGTAAAGGCAGTAGCGACCATGGGAAGTTAAAGGGTTCTTACCGATGGTGGAGATGTGAGATGGGTGAAATTCGTTGTCCGTGAATCTGCATAACAAACATGTTTTGCCAACCCCCGAGTCCCCGAGGAGCAGGAGTCGGAAGAGCACATCGTACTGCTTAGCCATGGTGTTGTTTCATTGGGTCATGAATATAAAATAAATAAATAAAAGCTCTAATTGAGAGCAGAGTCAGCTAACTCAGCGATGAACGGCCTCTCTGTCTCCGCCTGGATGGCATGACTGTTCAGCAAAGCCTCCTCAGGCTGCAGCTCTGCGTGTTTTTGTTCAACGCTGACAGAAAAATCAAAAACACTGGGATGCCTCAGCTTCCCATGCAACCTCCAGCTTCCAGTGGGTGCGGTGGACCACTGTCAAGTTACTGGCTGTGTGGAAAACGCACTTCCGTTAAGGCTTTTCAAAATAAAATATATACGCAAGAATTCGCCTCACAACTGTGGACAAACTCCAGGGAGAAAAAAAAAAGGGGGAACAATCCCTTCAATTTTGCGTGGTTTCATGCATTATAACTATATTATGTAGGAATATGAGTAAAACATAAATAATAAATGCAGCAAATTCACTCTATGGTCAGTAAGGGTAAATAACTATATATATATAAATATCCATCTATGTCCATCTATATAAATACACATATAAATACCCTGTGCAATAACCCTGTATAATAATTCTACTATAAAAAAAGAAAAGAAATGTCATCTGTGGACACTGTATATACAGTATATATATCCCATGCACATTTTTCTTCCTTTGGCACCTTTTTCTTCTCCTTTGACTATTTGAGCTGATGTTACGACTAAATTTCTCCACTATGTGATCAATAAAGTCATTCAATCAATCAATCAATCAATCAATAGAGGTAAACTAGAATTAAATTCGGAGAGTGCAGACCTCCACCAAGCAGGACATTATGCCTCATATTGTGACTTACACCTATAGCTTCCCAAATTTTAATCAATTGTTGCTGGGCATAAAGTACACCTTTGATAACAATTTCCTTACAATCCTTTCATAAGTGTATGAATAAGGCTCAGCGTGTGTCTGCAGCCTCTGGTGTTTGTTCTGCTCCCGCCGCCTTCATTCACTCTGAACTCTGCTTTCTTTGATCTGCAGATCGAGACTTGAAGCAAAGCATGGCTCACCTTTTCTGTGTTTTTGTCTTCAGTATAATACTTCTGAACCTTTTTGAGTCAGATGCTGACGCTGTCACCAGTCACTGCTGCCACTCTCTGGTTTTAGGGCAGGGAAAAAAAATCCTGAATCTGGATTAGGATGTGG